GGGTGGGATGGCCCTACAGAAAGCATGTCAAACTCAAAGTCTAACAAGGTTTAAGTTTATGTGGGCTGCAAAAAATTTTCATAGAAACATAGGTTTATTTTGAAAAGTACAGTATAAAAAAAAAACAGCATCCCCCTCTACTAAACCACAGAACCCTCTCTAGTAAATCTGAGCCTCCCAGTACCCTCTTCTAGCCAACAAGCAGACTCCACTCACATTGCTGCTGCCAGTATGTGACTCCGGAGTCCGGCCTCTGGTATACCCCAAATGGCGCCGTCTGCACCCTGTGCCAAATCTGATCCTCCCACTACTTCTTGAAACCCTCTGTGAAGGTGGAGCACGTAGATGTCATGTCGGAATGTGACATGGCATTGCGTGCCTCCATGCACCTCCAGGTACTCCACTGTCCAGTCACAGCCAATGCAACACTGACCAACACACACACACATCATTTTATTTGGTGGGCCCTCTTCTATCTGGAGCTCAGCCTTCCTGCACTTAAATGCTCTCTCGCGCACAGTTTAGTGATGCCAGGGGCCAGAATGACGTCATATTCCGGCGGCCGGCATAACTATAAGCTACCATAAAGCAACAGTTCCAGTTTAATCCCGACAGCATTAGGTACATTTAAAGAAATATTTTTGTTTTTCGAGTTTGTAGGCGGCATGGCAAAGTGTGTAAAACTAATGGCATTTTAGTTACAAGAGACTAAAGATAGGTGTGTTCTCACTATTAATCAGGTCATGTGACTTCATTGTGGACCAGTGGCGGATCCGGGGGGGGGGGCAACGGGGCAATTGCCCCCCCTGAGATTCTCCCCTGCCGGCTGATGCAGGGCTGGCATTGTCCAAGTGCCAGAGTTCTCCCTCCCCGGTCCGCAGGCATTGTGCAGGAGAGGGAGGGAGCCTGCAGCTCCTCCGGGTCCTCCTCTCGCAAGCATAGAGCGTTGCTGCGGTAACCACGGAAACGCTCCAAATCTCGCGAGAGTGAACTCTAGCCCTAGAGCGCGGGCTAGAGTTCACCTCACCACCATTGGGACCACCAGGGAATCCCCACCGGACCACAAGGGACATAAAGTATATTTATTTTAATTAAATAAAAAAAAAGCCTCCCTACCCTCCTTCCCCACCATACAGACACTGCCCCCATACACACACTACAAACAGTGCCCCTATACACACACTACAAACACTGCCCCCATACACACTACACACACTGCCCCCATACACACACTGCCGCCATACACACTACACACACTGCCCCCATACACACACTGCCCCCATACACACTACACACACTGCCCCATACACACACTACACACACTGCCCCACAACACCCACTGCCCCCCATACACACACTGCCCCACAAACACTGTCCTCCATACACACACTGCCCCACACATACACTGCACCTTCCACACACACTGCACCCCTAACACATACCACTGCTCATATACCCTATATCCCAGCCAGGGCCGGATTAAGAGCACAGTGGGCCTGGTGCTGACAATTATGATGGGCCTAATTAAGGAATCTTATCGACCAAAAACTCTAAAACAATCATACCTCCAAAGCTTCATGTATCTGATGGAGATGGTGCTGGAGGGAAACTCATAGGATGCAGCTATAAGAAAACACATACTATATGCTAATCCAGCAAGTGCACACAAGTTTTGTTCCCATACATCCCTCTTAAGCTTCCAAACTTAAAGGGACACTATAGTCACCAGAACAACTACAGCTTATTGTATTTGTTCTGGTAAGTAGAATCATTCCATTCAGGCTTTTTGCAGTAAACACTGTCTTTTCAGAGAAAATAACTCCACTGGCTGCTCCTTAGATGGCTGCTAGAGGTGCTTCCTGGGGCAGTACTGCCTAGTGTGCAGCACTGCCATTCAGTGTCTCCACCCTCTGCATGCAGACTCTGAACTTTCCTCATAGAGATGCATTGATTCAATTTATCTTTATGACGAGATGCTGATTGGCCAGGACTATGTTGGACTTGTGCTGGCTCTGCCCCTGATCTGCCTAGTTGACAGCCTCAGCCAGTCCTATGGGGAAGTATTGTAATTTGCTCAGACCACCACTTCTGAGCCAGCAGCTGCAGAATTTAATACAAGTAATATTTTACTATATTTAGGGAGGCAAGAAGGGGCCAGGGTGGTGGTTTTAACATAATAGGGTCAGAAATACATGATTGTGTTCCTGACCCTATAGTGCTCCTTTAAGCAAGAGTATGTGAAGAGTAGTTAAGGTTGCCACCTTTCTTGGAAAAAAAGTACCAGCCTTAATAATTTGTATAATTAATTGGTTATGCGTGACATCACATGATGTAAATCACAAGGAGTGACATCAGAGAAAATTCTATAAAATCACCAAACTACTCACAGTTTGATTCTGCTGTATAGATGGATTGCTCCCAGTGTCTCCCTGTCTCTCAGTGTCTCAGTCTCGCAAGTCACCCAGTGTCTCAGTGTCCTTATGTATCACAGTGTCAGTGTCCCCCTGTCGCCCAGTCCCCTAGTCTCCCAGTGTCTGTGTCCCCATTTCTCCCAGTGTCCCAATGTCTCAGTGTGTCCCCATGTCACTAGGATACTGGGGACACTGAGAAACCCAGGGACACTGAGACCCGGGGACACTGAGACATTTAGGGAAACTGGGAGAAATGGGGACACTGAGACACTAGGGACACAGACACTGGGAGACATGGGGTCACTAAGACACTAGGGACACAGACATGGGAACACAGACACTGGCTGGGAGACAGACACTTGGGGACACTGGGAGACATGGGGACAGTTGTGGACATAGACATGTGGACACTGGGACATATAGGGACACTGGGAGACATGGAGACACTGAAACATTTGGGGACACTAAGACACTGGGAGACTAGGTGACACTGGGGGACTAGGGGATACTGGGAGACTAGGGGACACTGGCTGGGAGACAGACACTTGGGGAGACATGGGGACAGTTGTGGACATAGACATGGGAACACTGGGACACATGGGGACACTAGGCACACAGAGACATGGGACACAGACACTGGGAGACTTGGGGACACTGAGACACTAGGGACACTGGCTGGGGGACATAGTGTCTCCGTGTCCCAATGTCTCCCAATGTCCCTATGTCTCTCAGCGTCCCCATGTGTCTCAGCATCCCCTAGTGTCTCAGCGTCCCCTAGTGTCTCAGCGTCCCCTAGTGTCTCAGTGTCCCCAGGTCTCCCAGTGTCTGTGTCCCCATGTGTCCTAGTGTCTCAGTGTCCCCTAGTGACAGTGTCCCCATGTGTCCCCTAGTGTCTGTGTCCCCATATATGTCCCCAAGTGTCTCAGTGTCCCCATGTTTTCCAGTGTCCCCAAGTGTCTCAGTGTTCCCAGGTCTCCCAGTGTCTGTGTCCTAGTGTCTCAGTGTCCCCTAGTGTATGTGTCATCATGTGTCCCCTAGTGTCTGTGTCCCCTAGTGTCTCAGTGTCCCCATGTGTCCCCTAGTGTCTCAGTGTCCCCATGTGTCCCTGCTGCCTTTCCCCCGATCCCTCACTTACCTGAGCTCAAGAGCTGCTGTCTGGACTCTCTGTGCTGTGTAGCTGCTCCCCCACGCATCAGTGAGTAGTAGAGAGAGGCAGGGATATTTTGTAACTTCCTATCCCTGCCTCTCTCCACACACAGTGACCCCTACTGGCCGGTGCTGGTATTGCAGAGTAATTTCCATTTATTCTGAGAAAATTACCTGCATTTGTATTGCTGGTATTACTGCAATACTGGCAGGGCCAGGCAGCCTCAAATACCGTCTGTGCCATAAAAATACCAGTCAGGTGGCAAACCTAAGAGTAGTGTGTAAAAAAAAAAAAAAAGGTTTTTTTTGGTTTTTTTTTTAAATGGGCCTATTCCATGGGCCTGGGCCTGGAGCTGCAGCTCCAGCTCCATCAGCCCCTATGTTAATCCAGCCCTGATCCCAGCAGACCCCAGGTAAGTTGTCAAACTGTTCTTAATCGGTTTGACTACTTACTCTAGGATGGGATCCTGGCACTACTGGCACCATAACTACTACACTGAGCTGTAGTGGTTATTGTGCCTGGATTATTTCTTTAAATAATCTACAAGTGTCCCTCCCGAGATCAGGCTCTGGATCTGCCACTGTTGTGGACTCTAAATGACTACTTAAAAAATTAATAGATGTGACATTAATGTGTAAAGTTATTTGCCTTAAGAGATGATGAGATGCAGAAAATTGCCATAAACAGCTTATCTTAGAACACTTTAAAAACAACATTTAACATGTACAAATAAAAACATTAAATAATTACAGCTTTTTTTGCACTTAACACTAGTAGTATCTAATCAAACAGAAAGTTGTTCATTTTCTTAACTACAAAATGTACTCACAAATTGGAGCTATTTTAGTATGGTTTATCATTTGTTTAAAGTATTCTTTTAGAATGTCATCTGTTGAGTGATTTGTCATGGTTTATCACAGTAGAGCAATTGTATTTGCTATATTGATTTTTCGTGAAAGTGCAAATAATAAAAATCAGACATAACGATAATATATATATATATATATATATATATTTTTCATAAAACGTACATTATTGCAGTTGCTTTTCCAGTTGCAGCTGGTTACTACATTCCCCCTTATTGCAGACAAATTAAACTATATCAGTTCCTTTACGATAGTATTAGTAATGACATAATATGAGTGTGAGTAGAATAATCTGGGTAAACCACATTAGCAGATCTATGTTAGATAACAGTCTTTAAGGAGCTCTCACTGAACAGGATTTCTTGGAAAAACAGTCCCAGCTAAATGTGTTGCTAGACTGTTGATTTGTTTCCAATTAAAGTGACTTTAACAAGGTATGAAATGAAAATACAGACATGCTGTTAGAAAATAATCGGAAAGCAGAGCAACGGAATTATTGTTTTTTCTGGAAAATATCCAACAAGAAATTACATTGTAAATCAGACTCCTTGCACTTTCTTGGCATCACAATTTAATATAACATGTGCCCTAAATGGGTGGAAACTAAAATGTAATCTTGCAAGTCGATCAGAGAATGAGGTGCGGAAAAATTGAATAAGCTTGCAGGAGCCATTCAATTTCTAGAAATGAATTATCAATCATCAGTACGATTAAGTGTATTATGAAGAGAATACAGGACCTGAGTAATGCACTACAACTACCAGTATGCTTAGGCAGCGTTTGATTCAACTACAGCTCAAAGATCAGAGTTTCTCATTAATGACCCAACAATAGTCTAATTTCACCGTCCATTGTGGGCACCATGCAATAGTCTAATTTCACCGTTGTCAAATTTATGGCTGTGTACTGTTAAATTGTGCAATGTGCTCATAAGAGAAAGCCAGGAGAAACCCTTTTGACAAAAATGACACCTTCTTCACTTCCTCGAATCATGTACTGTTCCAAGCTAATTCATAAGTAGATTATTATTAATATGATGCTTGAAAATTCTCATCCATTAAAGTGATCGCTGCTAGAATTCTCTTGAGCTTGTCTTAATCCAGTAGTATTTTAACCCTTCCAAATGCAATGTTAAATCAATGGAGAGTTACAGCATTCATTTTTATGTTATTCCTGGTTGATTTAGTAGAAAACATGAATCATCGTTGAACACAGTGAGGATTGTGATTGGCATTAATCAAGAGGCTGGGAAAATACTGCATTTGTAGAATTCAATTGGATGAGCTTTAGAATTTTTGAGCTACTAAATTATGCAACTCAACCCAAGCAGTCATAGTACTCCTACTTATTAATTTAACACCCGGCTCTCTTGTACATTCACACTTCCCAGAAACAGCTGGATGTTTTGCTGCAGACCAAAGATTAATATAGAAATTACCTCCTTTTTTACTATATTTTTGAGTTTTCTTTTTAATAGACAAATAGTTTTACCTAGAAGAATTTGAGGAAGAAGAGGAAAAAATGTATAGACACCTATTTACAGGGATAACACAAACCTTATAAAATCATGCTCCATGCTTAAAGGACCTTTCTGGTTATGGTGACCAGAGTCAACCGGCGCTTACCTACCTTTAAGTGTTTTCAAATGGTTTAACACTTTGGCGGAGTCCCCCATGCACTGGACCTGCATCTTCTCTTCTGCCTGCCCATAAATGTTAAAGTATTTGCTTCAGCAGAAGTAATAGGTTGAGAGCATCTATCAGATGCAGCCCATTGAGTGATACTTTGGAAAAATGCAACAAGTGTGTGAAAATCTTAAAGAAATCAGCTTGTCCATGGGACTAAAGTGGTAATCCAATCCACTTGTGCCTATTCACAAAATAACTTTATTTAGAAATAAAGGGGCCCCTACCTAGAGTGTCTCTTACGTGTCCTTATTATAGCAGCACTGTGTTGTGTGTCTGCATGTGCACACTGGGTGTGTTTAAAATTTGTGGTCCATGCTGGCTGTCTTTAACAAGTGTGGGGTTTGTTGGCTGTGCGTCGTGTGTGTGGAGTGCATTAGCTATCTGTAATATGTGGGGTTTGTTGGCTTTGTTTAACCCCTTTAGGACACATGACATGTGTGACGTGTCATGATTCCCTTTTATTCCAGAAGTTTGGTCCTTAAGGAGTTAATGTGGAGGGTATATGCATTGTGTAATGTGTGTGTGGTGTGCGTTAACCATCTGTAACAGGACAGGAGGTAGCAATCAAACAAGGTGGAGTGAAGTAGAGCTGGAGGAGAGAATAGAGTGCTGCCCTTTAGGAGAGAGCAAGGGACAGTTATGTGAGGTAAAGGTTACTCTGGGAGGCCATAAGCTTCCCTAAAGAGATGGATTTTGAGGCACTTTTTAAATAAAGACTAGGGGAGAGCTTGATGGTGGTAGGCTATTCCATAGGAAGGGAGCAGCCCGCGAGAAGTCCAGCAAGCGTGAGTTAGCCGTAAGGGTGCGAACAGTGGACAGCAAAAAGAGAGATAGAAAAGGGGCAGTGAAGATATATAGGAGGGGCTAGTAGTGGTTTTTGGCTTTGTTTAATGTGGAGAGTATAGGCCGTGTGTAATGTGTGTGGATATGTGTGTATTTAAGGGTGCTCTGTTTTGCTACCTGCTTACCTTTCTTGCAGGTTCCTGGTGGACCATCCAAAGTTACAAAAAGGGTAGGAAATAAACACTTGGATCGGCAGGGAACCAGGATGCTCAGCAGTGTGTAGACAGGTGGAGGAAACGGAGGAGGAGAACAGGCTGGGTGGAAGGTAGAGCAACCCGGACAGCCTTGTGTGGAGCCTGGGGTCTGCAGCTCCTTCGGGTGCAAACCCCAGTAATGGCTCACACTCATTGCAGTGCTCATTAGTGAGTAGTGCAGGACAGTGAAGGAGTGATAACTGTGCTTTGCACCCAATGAAGGTTAAAACCACACTCCCTGGCACAGCCCTGTGTCAGACCTGTTGCTTGCCCACTGTAGGGCTAAAGGGGAAAAACAATCTTCCTGCCCAGCGCCCAAAATTCCTATTCCCTGGTACTTAAATGTAGGAAGATATTGGAGTCAAGTCCGCTGGCCCTGCTCTCCCTTCTGACTTTGAGTAAGAAAATAAAAATAAAATACATGTATGGTGTGTGCCTGAAAAGAGTACGTATACAATGGATATGCCCACCCATATGAGCAGCTTCCACAGATTCCAATCTATAGCTCCATTCATGCAGCCATGAATGGAGCTAACGGCAAGTTGATTGCTGTCGCACAATGACATTATTGGCTTGAGTAGCAATTTTCTGATGAATGGCTGTCATATGATAAACTATGTAACTATGTAATATATAGTCCATAAACCTGAAATATCCTCAACTCATCTTCTGAAAGGACTGTAATGGCTAGAACTGGCTGACGTGTCTGCTACTCCTAGTCAATAGAGAAGGTTACAAATACTATTATCTGCAATGGCATGAACTTCAAAAATGTTTCTTTTATTATTCTGCATTTTAATGCTGTAATTAAAAGTATCCCTTTAAAAGCCGTCTCACTGGAAAAGAACATCTATTAATGTCTAACTAGAGGATCTCTGTCATGCCATTTATAAATATATTATTAACTTCATTAACCCTTCACCATTATTCTTGTGAGACCAGCATTTAGTTCCAGGCTTATTTTAGAATGTGATTCTATTAACCTTTTCATTAGGTTAGAATGGCAAAATATTATACAATTCACATGAACTATACATTCATTGAGTGATTGCATTGTTTTATTATTCATGTCTATAAACCTTTTCTACAGCAGAGAAATCCAATGCTATAGCACCATTTTAGTAAAATTGGTTTGCCCCAAAATGCATGATGAAATACACTATTTTTACACACATTATTCCCGTTAATCTTGAATCACATAGTACAAAATAGGTTATGAAAAGGCTTCAGAAAACTCTTTTCTAAACAGGAACCTTTGAACGATGAATATTCTTATTTCATTCAACAGGAAAAGCTTTAAAGGCAGTTCTACTTTTTCTTATTTAAAGACACATTCCCTTTTAACATAACCATGGCAAACACATTTTGTTTCAAATGTTTTACTTGGATTAATCTAGTTAAGCATAAGCAACATTAATGAGTCCATCAACATGTCAGAGAGGTGCAAAATCTGCTTCTGCCACAAAAAAGTTAAATATATATTTTTTTGCTTTAAAGTCCAATATGATAGATAGGTAGAAGCAAAAAAAAACAACAAAAAACAAAACTAAACATTGATGATGAAATATTATATGCCTTTCTCTGAATTCCAAGTTAAATAATATATTTGACTCCCATTTGCTCATAAATGATGCATTAATGTCTCAGAATGTACTCCTGGTTGAGCCTTACTGATGGAATATACACATGGAGACAGTCTTGCTACCTAATTTGTATTCTGGCAGGTAATATACATTTATAAACGCCATATAGTTTGCACGGAGCTACTAGTGGTTTCTTTTATGGTGGATAGTATCTTACAACTTAACACAAATATTTTTTTCAGTTTGAGCATTTGTTTTTACAAAAATAGAGGGAATAAATATTACATCTCTACAGAATGTCAATTCTAAATAAATATTAAGGTCATATACACTACAGTGTAATAAGTCCGAGATAATTCTTTCCAATTACTGCAGCTCAGAGCTGGTGAGAAATCACTCAAATTCATTACACTTGGCAGATTACAGATATCGTGTTGCGAGCACCCCCCCCTCCCCCCCCCCACCACCAATAAACAAAATAAATAGTAACATTTCAAAGGCAAGAATGCTTTTTGTTTTAATACAGATAGTTGCATGTTAATGGAGTAACAATGTTGGGTCATATATGTTTCCCGTTGGTTCATCATTTTACATTTGATGGATACATTAACTGTGATGAGGCCATGTTCGAGCCAAAGACATGGGTATAGGGCTGTAGAATAATCTTAAGGTTTGATGTTTTCTTACTAAGTTAAAATAAAATAGGTTGCCTGTAGTCCATTTATGGAAACTTTATTGATCTTCTGTTTTGCTACTATTCCTGAACTTTACAACCATGACAGTTATGTTATCAGGGCATCCTCTGTAAAATGACTGTAACACGATGCTCTTGGCTCCAAAATGTGGTTCGTCCAAACGCTCTTTGATAAACCGGACAGCTTCTTCATTGCTAAATGCATCCCATAGACCATCAGATGCCAAGATCATGAATTCTGGCTGAAGTTTGTCCAGGTCAAAGCTTAATATATCGGGATCTGAGATGATGACATTTAGATTTTTGAGGGGATAATCTCCAAGGGAACGGGACATTGCCAAAATCCCTTGAACTCTCCAAGATCCATTGAAACTGATGAAGCCACCTAGAAAATAACAGAAACCAGTCATCATATTGTAATAAACTGAAATAGTCTAACAAGTGACGTTAAAAGTAATCATAATAAACATATAAATAAATGCATAGATATGTTTTAATCATTTTCTGATATGTAACACATTATCAGGCCCGGACTGGCCATCGGGCACACCGGGCAAATGCCCGTCTATTCAGGGCCGGCACTCTCCTAGCGCCAGCCCCGCTGTTTGCCACGACGGGCCGGTGGGGAGATCAAGGATCTCCCTGACCGGCCCACAAGCGGCTGCCGGCGGGGAGGGAGGGAGCCAGCCAGGCTGGAGAGAGGACCCGGCGGAGCTCTAACTTGAAGCTCCGTCCAAGCGGCATGGGTTGACGGCCATTAAAGGACGCTATGATATC